GAACTACTAGCTCATTTACGACCAACACATTTAAACAAATTTATTTCCATCACAACGACTGAATAATTGAACTGATCAAATATGGAGACCTTTAACAGCTCATAACGGTAATTCTGCAGTATTTACAGTCTAACAGATCATCTCAACACATGAATCCAGTGAGGAATGAAACACACATGGCCTACAGTGAGCACACACACACAGGAAGTGACATCACGTGTGATTGACACGGACTTCAGGCAAAGCAGGATTCTTTTCCGCCGCTAACAGAGGCCACACGCTGCAGGAGCTGCATTCCCGCAGAAACACGGCCTTTCTTCTGCTGCTTAAGTGACTGTACAGGAATAAAGGCTTCTGCTCTGCTCATTAGCATCTCATTTGCATATTCATGAGAACAGATGAGTTCAAATCCCCTCCTGTTTGGTCACAAAAGTGCAGAATAAAGACTCTCCCTCACCAGCTGTGAGGACGCAGGTGCACACACACACACACACCACTGACTTCTATTGTTTTTCTAGATAATGATATTTTCTTCTTCCTAACCCTAAACCTGCCCCTCACATTTTTTCCTGCATTTTATTTATGCATTTTTTTTGTTGCTTTTTACCCCCTGCATTTTTAGATATTAATTTAAATATTGTTTAGTATGTTTATTAAACAGTTTTTTTTTCATGGGGACCGTTGGCTACTTCACCGTATTAAACTTTTTTTTTTTTCATCAGAAACATGCTTTGACTTCTATTCCAAAAGCGACTTACATAATTCAATTAAAGGGGTCATGAACTGAGAAATCAAAATTCCCTTCATATTTTGACATATAAGAGGTCTTTGTACTATAAAAACATCCTGTAAGTTCAAAACTTTCTCGTTAGTCTAAAAACAGCTTATATTGAAGCCAGTCTGCTAAAAGGGCAGCGTGTGGAATGAGCTGCTTTATGATGTAATAGTTTGGCTAAACCAAGAAGAAACCAAGAATCTCTGCAGAAGATGATCAACACCTGCTTCTACATCACCGCCTGTTTAGCCCCGCCCACCGATTATACATCACCACCTGTTTAGCCCCGCCCACCGATTATACATCATCACCTGTTTAGCCCCGCCCACCGATTATACATCACTGCCTGTTTAGCCCCGCCCACCGATTCTACATCACTGCCTGTTTAGCCCCGCCCACCGATTCACGCCTGTACTGGTGTAAATAACGAGAGAGACTAATGCAGGTCTACGCTGAAACCAAACGATAAAGATGCTCCGAAGACAACAAGACGCTGTTCAGAGCCAAGCTGTGGAAAAACAGTCTTTGCATCGCCTTCCTTCTGATCCCAACATTAAGAAAGAGTGGATGAAGTTTATTTTTAATTCCATCAGTAAGAACTCCTTTGTGTTTAGCCCCGCCCACCAATTATACATCACCGCCTGTTTAGCCCCACCCACCGATTATACATCACCGCCTGTTTAGCCCCACCCACCGATTACACAGCACTGCCTGTTTAGCCCCGCCCACCAATTATACACCCCCGCCTGTTTAGCCCCGCCCACCAATTATACACCCCCGCCTGTTTAGCCCCGCCCACCAATTATACACCCCCGCCTGTTTAGCCCCGCCCACCAATTATACACCCCCGCCTGTTTAGCCCCGCCCACCAATTATACACCCCCGCCTGTTTAGCCCCGCCCACCAATTATACACCCCCGCCTGTTTAGCCCCGCCCACCAATTATACACCCCCGCCTGTTTAGCCCCGCCCACCAATTATACACCCCCGCCTGTTTAGCCCCGCCCACCAATTATACACCCCCGCCTGTTTAGCCCCGCCCACCAATTATACACCCCCGCCTGTTTAGCCCCGCCCACCAATTATACACCCCCGCCTGTTTAGCCCCGCCCACCAATTCAACTGTCAGTTTAGCCCTGCCCACCGATTCTACAACACTGCATGTTTAACCCCACCCCCCGATTCTACAGCACTGCCTGTTTAGCCCCGCCCACCTATTATACAGCACTGCCTGTTTAGCCCCGCCCACCAATTCAACTGTCAGTTTAGCCCTGCCCACCGATTCTACATCACTGCCTGTTTAGCCCCCTGTTTGGCCCCCCCCACCGATTCTACATCACCGCCTGTTTAGCCCCCCCCACCGATTATACATCACCGCCTGTTTAGCCCCACCCACCGATTACACAGCACTGCCTGTTTAGCCCCGCCCACCGATTCAACTGTCAGTTTAGCCCTGCCCACCGATTCTACATCACTGCATGTTTAACCCCACCCACCGATTCTACAACACTGCATGTTTAACCCCAGCCACCGATTCTACAACACTGCATGTTTAGCCCCGCCCACAGATTCTACAACACTGCCTGTTTAGCCCCACCCACCGATTCTACAGCACTGCCTGTTTAACCCCGCCCACCTATTATACAGGACTCATTCTGACGGCACCCATTCACTTCAGAGGATCCATTTGTTAAGAAAGTGATGCAATGGTAAATTTCTCCAAATCTGTTCTGGTGAAGAAACAAACTAATCTACATCTTTGATGTCCTGAGGGTGAATCAATTTTCAGCAAATTTTCATTTTGGGTGCGCTATTCCTTTAATATAATGGAAATTGATGCTAAATCCAGTCCTATTACATAAATGTTTCCAAGTATTGTTCAAAATGTGAACATATGGGAAGAATTAGAAATCTTTCCTTGAAAACACACTGTTCTTGAATGTTTCCTGTACACCTTTGTGTATCTTTCCTGTCAGATTCCTGTTTGAGGCCCAGCGGACCCATGTGATCAACCTTTGGCTTGACAGAGCCATGATATCCAAGTTTAGCATGATGCTATCAGACATGTTCACATTTTCTATTATGAGACACAAGACAAGCAAACAAATGTTTACATATCATAATCAACAGTCAACAACAAAAAAACAAAAACAATAATAAACCACCAAAATGCTGTTGATCCAGTCAGATTAAATCTGTCAATACTACATTAATAATGCATCCCACCGATTCTACAACACTGCATGTTTAGCCCCACACACAAATTCTACAACACTGCATGTTTAACCCCACCCACCGATTCAACAGCACTGCATGTTTAACCCCAGCCACCGATTCTACAACACTGCATGTTTAGCCCCGCCCACAGATTCTACAGCACTGCCGGTTTAACCCCACCCACTGATTCGTGCATGTAGTGTAAATAACGAGAGGCGAACGCAGGTCTACGCAGAAACCAAACGATAAAGATGCTCTGAAGACAACAAGACACTGTTCAGTGCCAAGCTGTGGAAAACTCAGTCTTTGCATCGCCTTCCTTCTGATCCCAACATTAGGAAAGAGTGGATGAACTTTATTTTTAATAAAGATCCAGACCGCGTCAGTAAGAACTTGATCGTTTGTTCACTTGATTTCATCGCAGATTCGTTTACAAACAAGGCACGATTCGACGCAGGATTTTCAGACAGACTGAAACTAAAGCTGATGCTGTGCGACTATATTGGATCTGACAGTAATGTCGCACCACACAAGTGTGAGGAACTGTTTTTATTACGTGCTCACTATTGCTTTGTCTGTTATTACAGATCGTTTGATATATACAAAGTATTTATGCATTTTTAACCTAAATGACAGCAGCGTCCGTCTATGAAGGATGTAGCTGTCAATCACACACAACTGTCAGCCAATCACAGCAGTGGGCGTTTCCTTCAGTCTACAATCCTCCACACCTGTTCAAACAGAGCGCTCTGATGAGGGGTCAAAACAGGACAGAAAATAGACTATCACGTCTAAAATATTGTGTTATTTGATGTAAATCTTGATAACATTATAAGTGGACCTCAAAATAGTAAAAAAAAAGGCAGTTCACGACCCCTTTAACGCCGAGCACACAAAACATGGTCAGATCGCACACATTTGCACTGGTGCTGAATGAGACAAGCATCAGAGATTTATATTTGTTTTATACTTATATTTTTCATTCTGTTCTGAGTACAGTTGCATTTAAAGGATTGTTGTGGAGTGAGAGGATATTATAGTGTTTATAATGTTTGTAAATGTTTCATTTTCTGATATTTAACATTATTTCTGAATGTAATGTTTGTTTTTTCTCTCAAAAACACTATTTTGACTAATAGTCAGAGTGATCTGCTGCTCTGCTGCTGTGCTTCTCACCTCGATCCTCTGTGAATTCACTTTCTTGCCCTTTTTGTTCCAGAACACCTGAGGCTTGGGGTCGCCTGCGGCCTGACACACGAACGACACGACTCCGCCGGACACGCCGATCTGATCCATGGGAATCTTAGTGAACCTCGGCGCCACTGCAACACAAACACAAGCACCTCACTGACGTCACGATCATCAATTAATCATCATTTACAGCCTCCACAGAGCTGCTGCTCGCTCGCACTGGCCTCGTGTTCAACTTACAGCCGCTGTGAGACTCAGAAACACACCCGTCTACACGCACGACTCGCTCAGACAGCAGCTCCACATGAACGGATGACATTTAAACGTGAACATTTCTGTCAAACTGCTCTGAAACGAGGTGGATTGTGCTATACAAGCAAACATGACTTGACTTCAGAAAGCCCATTTAAATCAGACTGAACACATTGTATCCTTACATTTCAGGACTTAATGGATTGGATGCAAAGAGCAATGCATTCTGGGAGAGCTGACCAAGTCCAGATTGTGTCAAAGCAGCTTCACAGTGATAAACAGGAAAAACAGCAGGAACAATTACGGAAACTTAACTCAAGTTGATGCCTTAAATGTTTCCTGTAGGCCTTACAGTTACAATTTTTAAAAAAGTTTTGCATGAATTTCTAGTAAACCTTGTGTAAAATCTGCGTGTTATGTGTTCATCACCAATGTCATAATTAAACTATTAGTCCACAGCAGGTATGATGGCATTATATCGGTCAGCCGCTCTTATGCTGCTACTGAAAAATCCATATTGGTGTATTGATGATGAAATATAGAAACATTCAATCGTTAGACGTCATGATATCAGTAAGAGCTTATAGAGGCAGTGAATGCAGGATCATCTGTCACCAAAAACACCAGTCTGATTCTCTGCCTGATTTCAACAGGCCACTAAACACTCGACTGTGAACACGAGAGGATCAGATTCTACACGCATACACACACACACACACACACACACACACACGCACGCACACACACACCCACACACACACACACGAACACACACACACACACACACTCACGAACACACGAACACGCATGCACGCACACACACACAAACAAACACACACACACACTCACACGCATGCACACACACACACTCACGAACACACGAACACACATGCACGCACACACGCACACACACACATGCACACACACACACACACTCACACGCATGCACACACACACACTCACGAACACACGAACACACATGCACGCACACACGCACACACACACATGCACACACACACACACACTCACACGCATGCACACACACACACTCACGAACACACGAACACACATGCACGCACACACGCACACACACACATGCACACACACACACACACTCACACGCATGCACACACACACACTCACGAACACACGAACACACATGCACGCACACACGCACACACACACATGCACACACACACACACACTCACACGCATGCACACACACACACACACACATGAACACACACACACACACACACACGAACACACACACACGAACACACACACGGAACTTGTATCGAACCGTGACCCCAAAACCAGAGGTGGGGGCAAGACACACACGTTCAAGTCTCAAGTCACAGTACAAACAAATCAAGCAAGTCAAGTCTAGTCCTGCTAAGGATCAAACAGGAAATAATATATTTTTGCTACACAACCTTATTCATTTTTCCTCAGAAATTAACTCTTAATTATACATTTTAAATAATAATGTTTTAAATATAACATTTTGAATAGAGGCAAATTACTACTTTGTATACCGATAAGTCTGTAATTGAGAAAATATTGATAAAAATACAAGATAAAAATATGTATCTCTTATTTGTGTTATATTTAGTTTGACCATCCTAGGAGACACAGATAATATTTAACAGATGTTTGAAAATGATTTTGCCCTAAATATCTCCAGCAAAGACTGGGATTCAGTCTGGGAGCACGCTAAAGAATTTCAGTGTGTAACAAAACATGCTATTCAATTTAAATTATTATGCTGACTACAAATCACCCCCTATATCAGAAATAAAATGGACCCAAAATTTTCATCGGATATAGACACCCTATTTGGACTGTTTCTTTCACTTTGCATGAATGTCTACATTGTTCTTGAAAACTATTGTCATGGCTCAAAACAAGAAGCCTATTGCTGTTAATGTTTATGTATCTTCCTCTGTAACTTATCGATTTCTTTGATTTTATCTTAATAAGAACTACATTGACAGCTGTGCATTTAAGGTCTGCCTAAGCTTTTTGTTTTGTTTTGTTTTTGTTTTCTGTTTGTTCTGTTGGAACTCAAAATATTTATTTAAAAAATGGAATATAGAAATATGAAATGAAATGATAGGCCTACTCTATGACATTAATGCTGCCAGTGAGTGGCGGCAAATCACTGCTTTATCACAGAAGTGTTCATGGAACTGATTCATTCAGAACAGTTGATTTGTTCATGAACAAGCAAGAATGGGCCACTGAATCGTTCAGTATTCAGTGTGTTGATTTGTTATAAAGTCAAGTCAAGTCCAAGTCATTTTCTTTATTTAGTCAAGCAAGTCACAAGCCCTTAAATTTGTGACTTGAGTCCCCCACCTCTGCCCAAACCCGAGGCACGAACCGTTACACCCCTACAGTTAAGTCTGAATTAATGCAATCAATATAACTGCATTTCCGACTAATAAAAAATGCTCACATCTTTGCTGAACTCGTGGTTCCATGTAAAACATTTTAATGAATCTTTGGTGACATCATATAAAATGGCCTCCTCAGTCACACTGATCGAGTTAGAGCTGCTCTTTCTTTATTCTTCAGCGTGCTTTTGTGAGAGAGAGAGAGAATTCACTTTCATTCCAGCGTCCAGCAGACACGAATCTTTCTGTTTTAATAATTCATTGCAGTAAAATAGCATCAGCCTCTGCTTAGTTTCCATGACGACATCCCATCACAAAGGACCTGTATTGTTACCATACCAACAACAGCGTGTTAGAGCGCATGGAGACCTACACAAGGCTTCACAGGAGATCTGCAGGAAGATGAAGACGAGCAGCAGCAGCGAGGAGCGGAGAGGACCCCTGCCCCAGACAGCCATGACCCTCGACGACTGACTCCAGACACACTGCAGAGAGAGAGAGAGAGAGAGAGAGACACACTCAACAGCAGCGCAGAAACACAACACACTCACAACACACTCACTCAACACACTCACTCGCTCACACACACACACACACACACACACACCTCACTCAACACACTCACTCGCTCACACACACACACACACACACACCTCACTCAACACA